ATATATGGGGGGTTCCTTGTTTGGATTTTTCACCCGACGTACTAGTTTCGCTTAATTAGGGGTTAAGTGAGAGTATTTGTATTCTAGATTGTTAAGTGTAGATATTTTTTTTGTTTCATATCTAGAGATTAATGATACGAGATGTGTATGTGAGGGTTTCCTTGTCTGGATTATTCCCTCAATGTGCTTTTCTCATATTATTAATCTCTAAGATACGATTGCGGAATTTCGAGGACGAAATTCTTTTAAGGGGGGAAGAATGTAAAACCCCAAAAATTTTGAAAATATTATTATAAATGATAATAAATGAGTTTTATTATGATTGGTGATCATTTTGGGATGAATGGAACAGATTGGAATCGATTTGAGATCGATTTGAGATCGATTTGAAGTTTCAGCCTCGGTATCGCGAGTCTACTGAAAACTGATACTATTTTATTTTTAGAAAATTTTCTATTGATCAGATGGGTACGAGATTTACGTCATTGATCTTAGAATGTCAAGAACGTGTTGTGGGTAAAGTTTCATTGAGTTCTGATGACGGAGACTGAAACAATATTTTGAGACGGTATCACGTCTATTGACATCCATTGTATTTGTATTTTTAATAATTTTTATATTGATCATATGTATATGAGGTTTACACCATTGATCTTATAATGATGAGATGGTACTATGGGTAAATTTTCATTGCTTTCCGAGAACGAAGTCTGAAATCCTATTTTTAAAATAATATAAAATATTATATATATATATATATATATATTTTCTCTTTTTCCTATTTCACCTACCCCTGCCTAATTTCTACTGTGCTAACAACCAAATTAATTTTTTTATTAATTTAGAGGGTTATATAAGGAGGGGGGAGGAGAGCTTAAGAACACAGAGCAAGAAAAGAAAGAGAATGAGAGAGAAAGAGAGAGAAAGAAAGAGAGAGAGGAAGAAAAGAAAGGGAAAGAAGAAGGAGATTTTGGCAATTCGAAAAGCAGGAACAGATAGGGATTCCAATTTCAGAGATCAAGAAAGGCAAGTTCATCTCTTTCCGAACCCATCCCCAGTAAATTTCGATCTTGATGAATATACATGATATTGATGAAAAGACATGATATTGATAAAAATTGATGAATATACATGATATTGAAGAAAAAACTTGATATTGATGAAAATTGATGAATAGAATATAAGACCAAATTCCTAAAGACATGATATTGCTAGCTAGAACTATACGTACATGTCTACCGCTGGAAATACTGTTACTATTTTATACGTATGGTACTATTCATACGTACGGTACTATTCATATGTACGGTACTATTCATAAATACTATTACTATTCATATGTATGGTACTATTCATAAATACCGGACTGTTCATACATACGACACTATTCATAAGTACTGACACTATTCATACGTATGGTTACTATTTATACATACTGTTACTATTCATATGTACGGTAGTATTCATATGTACGGTACTATTCATACGTACGGTTATTATTCATACATACGACACTATTCATAAGTACTGACACTATTCATACGTATGGGTACTATTTATACATATTGTTACTATTCATGCATACGGTACTATTCATACGTACTGTTACTATTCATGAGTACGGATACTAGTCGTAAAGTACTGTTGCTATTAGTAAGTACTGCTACTATTCACAATTAGTTAATACAGCAGATAGTCGGAGTTGGTAACCCTGATCATTAATTTACTGGACAGTTTGGCCCAGTTTTATTTTCTAGAGTTTGTTTGCGCCATTTGTGACGCGATCGTGGAGTTTGAGCCGCTCGATGTTATACTTACAGTAATGAATATGACAAAATATGCATTTGAGTATCCCACGGGGATTATGACGAATTGAGATCTATTTACTTGTGAGTTAGTACACCGCAAATGAGACTGCGATGATACCTATTTGTCGATCCGCACGGTGATGCGATGATACCTATTTGTCGATCCGCACTATGATGCGATGATACCTATTTGTCGATCCGTACTATGATGCGATGATATCTACTTGTCGATCCGCATTATGATGCGATGATACCTATTTGTCGATCCGCGCGATGATGTGATGATACTCATTTTTTTTCGATCCGCACGGTGATGCGATGAGTTGGAAGAAGTTCAGAATGATAATATTATAAACTATTTACCTGAGTATTTGGCGGATGCCAAAAATGTTTCTACTCATTGTTGAGATACTTTGCTATACGAGTACACGAGATACATATGCTGATGTCTATTATGATGCTTTAATTTCCAATTATATTTTGATTACTTAGTTCAGAGTTAATATTTAGTTATTTACTACCTGAGACATACGGTATATACATGAGGGTTTCCTTGTTTGGATTATTTCGCTCGACGTACCACGTCTCAAGTTATAAGTTTCTAAATATTAATTCTACTTAGATACGGGGTAAATAATCTAGGTAGACTATGCTTATAGGTAGAGCCTCCGTCATTTGTAGTAACCCTTCCCCTGGGGGCGGACGGAGATGTTCTTACTGTAGCGCTCTGACGCTCTTATTGTTGTTTTTTTTCCTTTTATTTTATTTTAAACTTTCAGCAGCTCAGAGCATCGGAGAGTCGCAGGGTGACGGAGTTCTTGCATAGTCGTCGTCACGTATTTTTACTAGTATGGACTCCACAATAGTCTTATGTTTCCATTCAGTCATTTGAGTTTGTACTCATATTGTTAAGGCATGTCGCCTTAGTATGATTTCTAGTTGATCCATGTTGAGACATGTCATGTTATTTCAGACTCTAGATGTATATCAGTTGTATTTCAGTTTATTATAGTTGAGACATGATATCATTATGAGATATTTCTTTCTACGTCATGTCTATTGTATTTTTATTTCCCTTATTTGCCTGTTTTGTACCTTCACTTCTACTTGATTCCACTAAAGGATATTACTGTAATTGGTGAAATATGTTATTGCACAGTGAAGGTGCATGGTGGGTTTGACATCTCTGGGTTCACCTTGGACTGCAGCCAAGTGTGAAAACAGGGGCGTCACAATTGTAATGAGAAATTACAAAGATGTTAGAGACTAACATGTATGTATTTAAGATTTCAGGACGAATATCTTAATAACCTATTTATATAAGCACACCCACTTTGTTACCTATTCTGTTCACTTTTCTCCTCGCTTATTATCCACCAATTTTGATGTCACGCTCGAAGAGAAATAGAATTTATGTCGGCGAGGTCTTCTCTCCCTCTATCTCTCGATCTCATATTTTTTTAATTAGTTTCTTTAATTCTCTTTTAATAATTTATTGGATCCATTTCATGCTTCATTCTGTGGAGTCTCTTGTTAGATTCAATTTAAATATTATTTTATTTCAATTGTTATTTTTTTCCTATTTATGGGTCAATTAATCACCAGACCGGTTAGGTCTTCCGCCCATTTCATATTTTGAATTAACAGTTTATTTTAGGAGAATTTTTAAAAAGATCACTTTTTAAAAATATTAGCAAAATCGACTGTTTTACATAATAATTAACAAAATTGACCTATTTTTTGCCACACCATCAAGACTGGCAAAAGAGGTCAATTTTGTATAAAAATCATTTTTAAAATACACGAGACTAATAGTCCCGTGTAATTAGAGAACATTAATCACAAAAGTAATTAAAGACAGAAAATACATGGGACTACCACTCTTGCGTATTTTGCAGTCAGAACCAGAAAATACATGATACTACTATATATGTCCTATATACAATATAATTGCTCCAGGTAAGTAAGTTATAATAGCATTCTCCATTTATATTGTTTGAGGTAAGATTTGATAGGGACATTGCATCAAAGATATTTTTTATATTTAAAGTACATAGCAAAATATATCATAATCTCCCTGCTCTAATTTTGCAAGAAAATAATTATTCATACTTTCAGTTTTACTTCTATGGTACGGAGAATGAGCTATAAAATTGAATGAGAATGTTAGATAACATAAATATGAGTAAAACCACAACTAAAAGTTAATATGAATATGAGTCAAACGACAACTAAAGATTTAATGGACATATTGCAAATAAATTCATATGAAAAATTCCTTTGCGAATTGAATGATCACACATCTTTTAAAGACTTCAAGATTCTAATAAACAAAGATATTGTACTAGATCAATGTGTTTATAACTCCCAAATAGTAGATCACGTGGCGACAGTCTGGATTGAAGGAAATAATGATAATATTTTATTTGAAAGAGAGATTATTGTGTGTATAATTAATTCCGTAAAAAAACTTTATTTTCTCTTTTATTTTTATTCTATTTTTATTAATTTAAATAACCATGATATTCGACCACGTGATCTACTAATAAACAAAGATATTTTTATTCTATTTTAAATGCACATGATATTCGATCACGTTATAGATGCAATCACGGTACTATCATCTAATCAATCACTAAATGTAATTTCATTGTTCAAATATTGAATTTTTAGCTTATGTCTATATGTTTGATTCATTGCTTACATTCAATAATTTAATAAAAAAATTTCTCTAAATAAAATTATAAATTTATAAAAAAAATACCACGTGCATTGCACGTGCAATCTAACTAGTAATAAATAATAATACAATATAAAGTAATATTTTAATTTGATTAAGTATTATTTTTATATTGTATTTTATTTATAAAATATATTATTATATTTTAATATATGTAATGTATTATATAATTATATATTATATAATTTGTTAAATATTTTAAATAGAAAAAAATTTTAGAAGATAAGAATTATAAAAGGAATATTTTTTTTGGTGTAAAATTTGATGTAATGAATTGGTGATGAAATATTGATTTGATGTAAAAATTATATCAATTTAGTGTAAAAACTATTCTATTTTGGGTTGGAGATGCTCTCGTATAAAGGGCTGTTTGGTCGGGCCAAAAAGTAAAGAAAGTGAGTCGTAAAAATAACTGACACATGGAAACTGGAAAGTTGTATGTTTTGCCCCAAAAACTGATGTTTGATTCGGAAAATGAAAAAGAACAGAAGGGGGAAAAATGGCCGCCACGATGGATTTGTAGGAGGCTCCGTCTTCCGCTGCCAGAGTCCTGATTTCGCCGGAAAAAAAAATTACGCGGAAATGGATCTCCGTATAGCAGCGAAGAGAAAAGCGGGGAAAGTTTAGCGTTTCCTTCAGATCTCGCGCCTCCTCATTTCTAATCCCTCTTTCACTTCCCCCTCCTGCTTCGCATAGCTGACAAACATCTACCCATCCGCATTGGAGAATTGCTTGGAGGTGAGAAATCTCCTTTAAATTTGTTTTTTTTTCTAAGTTTTGAAGGTGGTTTTAATGGCGGTCGTCCTCTCGAGAAGCTGAAATTGGAAGGGGAGATGATTTATTCGATCGCCATAGCTCTTCTTCAGCTGTCGGTGATTGGGTTCGTGCTCGAGTTCATCTTCACTCAGAAAAATGGTGGCTGAATCGCTCTTGCTTATTTGTCCATGGTAAATCCTTTATCTTCTTCTTGGATTCAGCTTAATTAGCTAGAAAGAGAGTTTTTGACGAATAAGTACATTTGGGTCTACAACGCACTGGACAAAAATCTTGCAATGAACTCCTCATTAGGCCATTCTTCGGTCTCTTGTAGCTTCTGAATGCTGGTCAAGCATGAAAATCCCAAAAATAATTCTTTTTTTTCTTCTAATTTCTTATTTCTAATTCATTTGTATTTGTATTTTTTCTGGTCAAATCTAAGATAACCCATGCGGGGTTTTGTTTTTTTATTAGCATAAAGCTTCAGACAAAAACACCCAATGATCTGGGTTGTTTCTGTCAAATATAAGACGGTGCTTATATATTTTTTGCCAAATGAAATCAGTCAGCTCAGAAATTTTCTCGAATTGCAAGATAGAATCTTCATCCAGAAACATCTAATCTACATGTTATCCTTTTCGATTGAGGCCGATATCCTAACTCTGTTAATACGGGAACTTGGATGGTAAATCTGTCAACTGAAGATACTATGCGCAAAAGTAAACCGTCAAAAATATAGTTGCTAAAGGCATTCCAAGCATTGACAACAAACTTGTGATATAGAATATGTTCATATGGTTGAAACTAACGTTTTGATGGTAAAGGTCTCATCGAGACATAAATTTCGAACTATTACGATTATGTTGTTAACTTAGGATTTTACTTGTCGAAGTATCTATTTTAGATTATATTCACCATGTCTCTCCCTTATCAAGGCCATGAAGCCTCTTATATAGTAAGCTCATTAGCAATAGTTAGACTACTTTTGGGTTCATCAAAAGCCATTTTTTAAGCTGGCCTCTGATTGGAAAGATATGATCTCTATATAGCCAATGCTTTACTTAGTTGATAGTTGATGGTGAGCAGTTACATATATTCTACAGAAGCTTGAGTATACTTTCATTATTATAAAGATAACAAAATAAGCTCCATCATGGTGACAGATGTTTTGTATGCATCATTTTGTGTGGAGACTCTACAGTAGGAGAAAATTGCAGCTAAAGGTTTCTTAAAGAACCTTGAAGTGTCGTAAATGAAAGAACATGCATTTGTTTCTTGTTAATAGTTTCTTATCCTTTCCCACACTTCCTTGTAATTGAACTTCATACATTGAAACATGCATTCATTAGCATAGTTGGATATGTTAAAGAGTATTAATGATTTCTCTCGGCCCTCTCACCATAAATCTGGAGTTTTGGTAGTGAAAGTGACTTTAAGATGATATCAAAGCAATGAGGTTCTGATCCTAGTGCATGCACATTAACATGCATGGAAGGAACTCTAGGAGAACATTTAACAGGGATAATGATTCACATACAACAATTAATTTAGTTATTAGACTCATAAATTTATCGCAAATTAATTTGATCTTTTTTTTTCTTTTGTTCCAAAAGGTTGAGACAGCGCTCGCTCTAGGTGCAACACCATGACAAGTAACTCTCCAACATGTAAAATGTTCTCTTGTAATCGCATTATCGCCAGTTCTCGATAATGCAAAGATTGTTGGCCTGTTTTTTTCACCAAGGATTAGCAGCTCGAACACAAAGTATTGAGTGCGGATTAACCTTTTTCCCCTCCATCTTCGATGCGTTTTGTGATTGATGTAGGCTATCAGGCACTGGCATACTTGTTTGTATGTTGATCCTATGCTTTGATCACAGCACATAGTTTATAGAGGCCTAGTTTATAGAGGTTGATGGCTATGTGTTACAAGGACCAAAGGTTTGATAGTATCCTTTTGGATAAAAATTTTGTTTTTAAGAATCTTGATTGTATCCTATGCTTATGTTTGTACAGGTTGTAACTTTATTTGCTTGGAGTTTTTTAGTTTACATGTCTTTTACTGGTATTATTTGTTAAAATCACTGCAAATTTCACTAAATTTCTTATCTAGTTAGCTATTGCCTTTGCCTGTAATGTTGAATTTTGTGAAAAGTTGCAGTCTTTTTGGAGCTTAAGAGATGTTACTTGTTATTATGCTTCAATTTGTAGAATATAACACACTAATGTGAAACCTTAAAGAAAATTAGCTAAATTTAGGTTGTATCCATCTATTTTATGATTTACTATTGGTGCTTATGTTTAATTAATTTGTTTGTGATATTGGTGTTTGATGAAGATTGTAAAACTATAAGTTTTCTGGTTCTACCTGGGTAAGCTGGAATATATTAGAATCACAATTACAATTATTAGATTGGCGCTTTGTAATATTTGAGATGGCAGGTTCTCTCTAGAAATTTGCTTAATAGTAGGTATTAGTTCGCAGTTTGTAATATTTCATTTCCAGGAAATCTACGGGAATACCAGTCTCGTGGATTTTATTTTTACAAAATCCACAGGACTAATAGTCTCGTTTCCTGTGCGTTTCCTGTGCGTGCACGTTTTTGTGCACGTCCAGCAAATAAACGGGACTAGCAGTATTTTTTGGCTTTATTCCAAACATTGGTATGCTAATTTGATAAATAGTTTTCATAAAAGTTCATCAACCTCTCAAATATTGATATTAGTCAGTTAATTAATAAATACTTGTAGTTATTCCCTCAAATACTTTAAAATTTTAAAAATTACTTTGTCAAACATTTTAAAATTCCTCTCTCAAATGTTTATATTTTGGAATTAGCCCCTTAAATGATGGGTATTCTCACCCTACTTATGTTTGGAGGATAATGTTTTCCTATTTGGATGGTAAGCACACCATGGTGATCACAACCATGTTTTTTTTAGTTTGTACCAAATACTAGAAAATAAGGGAATTATTCACACATCAATTAATTTCCTCTCTTTTCAAATTGAACCAAACTAATGAAAGTGGTGGAAAGTAATTATTCTCCATGTTTTTTGACGAAACAAATACAAAAAATAATTTTTTAAGAAAGTGAAGGAAACACTAAAAAGTGAAGAAAAATTGTGTTTAGAATGTGATGGAAAGAAACAAAACAGCCCCTAAGTCCAAAACACAGTTTCTATAAGCCAACTACGTACATTAGTAGCTAGATATCATACAGTGTATTTGCATCCAATTTAACAATGCGTTTATGTAAGGAAATCAGGATCCGTACGTCTGGGCGTGTCCGCGAGAGACAAGTGTTGGATGAGATTAAAAAAAATGTATATAGTTTGCAAGTTTTGAAAGCTACCTTAGCCAGTCTTAGGTTTGGATGTGCAAAGCCAATTTAGGGTCTGTTTGGATAATGGAAATATTGAAAACAAAAAGTAGGTTATAGAAGTAATTTTTAAAACTATGAAGTAGGAAGTAGTGAAAATAGTATTTTTGTTGTTTGTTTCATATATTCTTAGAAGTAATGGAAGTAGAACTTCTTCCTCTTCATTTACTTTTTTGGTTTGGATAACATTTGGAAATATTATTAGGAAGTAATTAACGCATGTTGCTTTTACAATTTCAAACACATGTCACACTCTTTAATTTGATCTAGCACGTTACAACCAGTTTCATGTCGCTATGACCCCTCACCACTTGAGAGAAAGAAGAATCCTTCAACCACATAGCTTCAAATAATTGTTTACCTCTCGCCTATGATGAGACTCCGAGTGACCATAAATTCCTATGAATCTCCAATTTCCCTCCTCCCTCGCTCATTTGATCGTAACATCAACATGGTATTAATAGACAAACTATTCTCTTCAACACAAAGAAAAGTTGGCCGATGACCATCACAAATTATTACAAAATAATGTTAAAATTAAGAGTAATTTTATCAATGAAAAATTGTTAGAAGTAACTAATAAAAAAATATTAATAAAAAATTATTTATTTCCTAATAATATGCATTTCAACTACTTCCGAGCTACTTTTGAGTATTGAGGATTGAATTTTTTTTGGAAGTAAGGATGATATGTAGGCACCACATAAGAGTTTAAGAAAGTATTAAAAGTAAGTTTTTTAGAGAACCAAACACATTTTTTTGTTTGAAAGTAGCAGAAGTAACATCTACTTCTTTTACTTCAGCTACTTTATAATTACTTACGTGCAAACAAACATGGGAGAGAGCAAATTTAGGGATATGGCGTCTCTTTGGAATATTTAGGGATACAAACGTACTTTTCTGTTTTCCATTATTTCAATTGTACGCACATGGTTGGGAAATTCCTATGCAAATATAAAACCGGATGATTCAACAAGTTATTTTTCCTCCCTAGAAATCATCTTAAAAATAGGATGATTATATGAAAATCATCTTTTATTTTTAATTTTTAAATAAACCACTTTTAAAGTTGATTTTTTTGCAATATTTTACTAAAAATAAAAAATAAGCTTAAAATTCTAGTTCAAGATATGTGTGTTGTATCTTAACAAGTCCAAAATACTAAAACAATCAGTCACGTACCTGGAATGTGAGTTTGATAAGGGTAATTTTGGATTTTTAGGCTAGGAGATGTTTGATTGCAAAAAAAAAAAAAACTAACTTTAAAAGTGGTTTATGTATAAATTAAAGATGAAAGCTGTTTCCGTATAATTATTCTATTTTAAGGTGGATCTAGAAAAAAAACCTTATTGTTGTGATAGAAATCACAAAGACAATAAATATCCGTAATGATCCTAATAGTAAGATGGATAGATTTCATGTCATCTGCCTTATGAAAAACATCAACTCATTCCTTATATCTTATATATTACTATTTCATTATGTTTTTTCCCCTTAGAAACCACCTTAAAATTGGATCATTATACAGACATTGTCTTCTATTTTTAGTTTATATGTAAACCATCTTTAAAAATACATTTTTGTTCCAATCAACCACACTCTAGCCAAATCTTCACTAAAAAATAAAAAATAACTTTAAAAAGTGTATGTTTAAAGTATGTGACTTGTATCCTAGTTAGACCTAAACATTAAAGCTTGATTTGGTAGGGGGAAGGGAATGGATGAGGAGGGAAAAAAACTAGATTTGAGGCTATAATTATGCAATAAAATTAAGATAAGCAAACCACAGTATTCTAATGCAATCAAAATAGAGGAGAAAGGGTTAGGAATCGTTATCCTGTGACGCGCGATGTGTTAACGAGGTTCGGTCCGCTGACCTACGTCCCCGCTCCCCACTCTCGAGGAGAAATCCACTACACAACCTAGTTTGGAAGCTGGAACTTTGTCTACACAGCGATCCCCTCACGATCTCACACTACACAGTTGATCTCACTAGATCACTCCCACACAATTGATCTACACAAGATCACACTCTCAAGATAGTATAAATGGTGTAAGACTCTCTCTTTACAACGTCCCTATGGCAAAGAGAAAAAGCACATTGAAGCTGGGAAGTGAACACACAAAAAACACAGAAAGAACAGGTTTGAAAATTTTGCTCAGTAAAAACAAGGTCTCTGGTTTTTGCAAAAGCTGGACACTGAGGAAGAAGAAGAGGTTGAGTTTAAATAGGAGAAACCAGCTGTTTAAACCCATACCCTTAATCCCCCAAAATCTAGAAACAAACGTCGCTGAAATCTGTACTGAGCGGCACCGTAAAAGTACAAAAATTACCGTTTGAAAAACTTGGAGGTCGATCGAAAAAACTTGCGGTCGACCGCGATCCAGATCCGAAACTAAGAATCGAGCAGAGACTTCTTCGGTCGACCGGTGCGGTCGACCGATGGAAATTTCGAGCTCTCGGTCGACCACACCGGTCGACCGACAAACTCTCTGCTGCCCACTGACGAATGAACATAGGTGCGGTCGACCGGTGCGGACCGGTGCGGTCGACCGCATTCTGATACATTCCAAAAAACTGTTTTTGACTCACTTTAAAATATTTGTAAAATATTTATTTGACCTCTGAAAATTACGAAACTTTGTAAAATGTTTTTAATACTAAAAATAAACTGTTTAGAAAAAGAATTTTGCAGATAGGTCCTCATACTTGTGAAAAATAGTATTTTATGAAAAACACTTAAAAAAAACATAAGTATGAAAACGTGTGTGTGATATCCCAATGGCTTCAAGTGAAATCAATAACTCTTTGCCTACATTCTAGCACTAGAGAGAAAAATAAAAAACTAGCTAATATCCTCATATAGAAAGCAATTCTTGAGTCTTGATATAGCTTGAGTTGGCTGAAGCTTCTATTTGAATTTGTTGTTCTTGAAATAACGTTGCTTCACCACTATGCCTCCTCCTCCTTTGGATATCATCGTTGTAGTGCATATTCCATCCAATCCTCCATTTGTGGCACTAACAAGCTTGATATATGAATTCACTACATTTGTACTCAATAAGCCATTAGTACCGATAATGGTGGTTGTAAAACATCATCAAAACATAAGGGCTAACAATCTCTCCCTTTTTGATGATGACAACCAACCATTATATAAGAGCAAAAATAAATATAGCTTATAGATAGGTGCTCCCCCTATCTATGAGCTCCCCCTAAGTATGTGCAACAAATGAGGAGATTTCTCTCCCGCTTTGTCACCGTAAAAAAAATAGGGTAAAGAGAAAAGCATACAAAAATGCAACTAAACAAGCAAGCAAATAGAACTTTCACATATTACACAAGCCCAAACCATTTCTTATACGACAAAAATCATCCTCACCAAGAGGCTTAGTAAATATATCCGCTAATTGAGATTTTGTGTCAACAAATACTAGGGATACATCTTGTCTCTCTACATGATCGTGTAAGAAATGATGATGCACATCAATATGCTTGGTCTAGAATGCAAAACTGAATTTTTGGAAATATTTATAGCACTAGTGTTATCACAAAAGATTTTTATATTTTGAAAATTCAAATCATAGTCAACTAAGCTTTGTTTCATCCATAAAACTTGAGCACAACATAAGCCGGCGGCAATGTATTCCGCTTCCGTAGTGGACAATGCAACA